CAGGCCGCATTTACATTTAATTTTTCCACCCGCACACTCTCAACATTAATTTCCACATTCACAGCCAAACATAACTGATATATATATCCATTTGATTTTAAAAACAAATTGTAAAATATCCATTAATGCATATCCTAAATAAGTTTATGCTTAATTAAAGATCTATATTTTTAAGTTTTCAGAGAGAAGCAATTATGGAAGGATAAAGATTAACAAAAGAACTGAGAAATATATTATTTCTCAATAACTGTGTAATTCTTGGCCTTAAAAGGATTAAAAGGCTGTCTTGCAGTGTAAAGCAAGTTGGAATCAACTCTTGACGTAATACTTTTTTTATTAAAAATCGTAGCAGCAATAGCCATTGATAGCCCTAAGTGATTAATATAATTGATCTTATTTGTCGGTTCTTGTGTTAAATTTTGATATGTAAAGTAATCATCTTGAAGAAAGGAAAAAATAGATAACAATAGCATGCAAGTGTACTTTCATTTAGTTCATGATGTAAGATATATTTGTTTAACTATAATATGTTTTAATAAAATTGCAAGATATGATCTGCTTTAATTTAATGAGTCAAGCCATACCACTGAGATCAGTAGTAGGATTACCCTTCACGGCATCCGCATTAATATTTCATAACATTTTGTTACGTGTTAGAAAATTTATGATGATAAAGTTAAAATTTTTATGCCTTAATTTTGCACAAAAATTCAATATATATGCTTAAATTATAAAAAAAATGCATTATACACAAAAAAAATTTATAAGAAAAATTGAAAAGGTCACTTACATAAAATAATTTACTATAAATTTAAATTTACAAAATCCATTGTTCCCCACAATCAGAGAAGAAAGGATTAAAAAATTGTGATGACATGCTTGATTTCTTCTAGTTGTAATAGAGATTATGAAATAAGTAATTGAATGATGATGATGACAAATAGATAATATTAGTTGGACAATAATAGTCAGACGATGGTGATTGAACTATGATAGTTAAAAGACAATGATAAAATGACAATATTATGACAATGATTTTGCTATTCCACACCACTATTTATAGTATTTTAAAGTGAGCATTTTAATAAATTTAGCATAATACTAAGTTAAGTGTGGCAGAGATGAGGATGCTCAGGTGGATGAGTGGCTTTACCCTTAGAGATAGGATACGAAATGAGCATATACGTGAAAAGGTTGGAGTAGCTCCAGTAGAAGATAAGATTAGAGAAAGTCGCCTTAGATGGTTTGGTCACATAAAATGGCGGCCTTGCGATGACCCGGTTAGGAGAGTAGAGGTGTTAGATTTGACTTATGTTAAGAAAGGTATGGGTAGGTTAGAAAATATTAGGAATGACCTTTCTTTATTAGATTAAATGAGAATTTGACTTTTAATAGGACACAATGGAGAAAAAGGATTCATGTAGCCGACCCCACGTAGTGGGATAAAGGCTTGATGTTGTTGTTGTTGTTGTTGTAGCAAAAAATTTATCAAACTTCATGGGATTGCACTTATTGAATAATTTAATCACAAATCATTTATTCAACACTCAAGTGTCTTAATAAGCTCATAATTAATTTAGTGGTATTGAACTTGTTAGATAGCCATTTTGATTTATCTATAATCTTGCAAATTTAAGAGATCACATAATCCTTAAATCTAGTGGTCCTAAATCCAGTGCTCGAGGTCATAAGTCTAGAGTCATGAGAGAGGACCAAAGGGAATAATGAAATAGGCCGTTTAAATTTTTTGCATGAAATGAGAGTATTATATCCTTAAATTTTATTAAAATTAAGCATATGAAAACACTTCAAAGATGATTGACCTCTTAGGAAGTTACATCGATGGGTTAAATCGTAGGGTAATTAGGACAAATAGATGATAACTCAATGTTTGATATATTTTATTTAAGCTTTCGATTCAATAATAAATGAAAGAATGGCCACATATTCATCAAGATTAGTGTTATGCACTAAAACTCTTCTCATAGAGCACATGCCCAATAAAACTTCGAAGCTCTTCTGCAGAAGTCATGACCATGGCGTCTCCCTCTCCTCTAACCCTTGGCCTTCAAATAGGTCTCAATGGGAGTTCCGTTTCCAGCCCTCCAACAAAACAGATTTTCACTTTCATGCAAATGCAAGAGCTGAAGCATCAAGCCCTCATTTAGAAGTACATGGCGGGTGGCCAATTCAGAAAAAAACTCATAAAAAAAAATTAAGAACTGAATTTTTTTAAGGGGGGTCAATATGCATAAGTGCTTGATTTGGTTTTTATTTTTTTTTTCTAATTTGAATCGGATTACTTTTGGTATCATTGGATTCGTTTTTCCAATAGGCTTATTTCTTTTTTGGGAAAATTTGGAGCATCAGCCCATATCATTGATGTAAAAAAGGATTACAGTAAGAAAATCAGATGTTAAACATAAAAATTATGTAGCAAATGACAAAACCCTATCAGCATGTACTGCTTAAGAAGAAAAAACAGTAAAAAAGGAAGAGCAGTAGAATACAATGAAATAAAAACAGAAATGCAATAAGCTTATTTCAATTATAAATTTGCTGAAATCAGAAGACCGATATAAATTAAATTATAAAAAAAATTAGTACATCAAAATTTATTCTGCTCAAATGAAATTTCTTGAGTCATCTCAATATTAATGGAATTTTGAATTTCTACGTTGCGATTGACATTTGTTTTATATTATTGTGGTGTAGTGTGATATGTATAATGAATTATTATAAATATGTTAGAATACTGTTCTTATTTTGAAATTACTGTTATAATTATATGGGTTGAATTGTATCACATTGCTGCGATGACTTGACGATCCATCTCAGTAATCTTTTTAATTTTTTATAATAATTCTACTTCGTTAGGATTTTATTATTATTTGTTTAAAATTTTTATAGTAATATAATAATATTCACAATGATTTATTTTTTTAATTTATAATTATTTAACAAATAATTACTGCTACCCTAAATGAATTTAGATAAATAAAACGGAAACATAATCTGAACTCATTAATCATTATTGAAAATAATAGAATTTTAATAATCTTGATTTTTCCATCAACTTCAAATATTTTATTTTTTTACAATAATTTTATTTCCATTTTTTTTAAAAGAAATGATGGTTCCAAACAAACCTTAATATTGCAATGTAGCCACCAGCCCATATCAAACTATCCGCTAAAATTTAATTAGTAGTAAATGTTGGTTACCAGTAATTGTTAATTAGAATAACGGCGTTACGTAAAGCTGACCAAAAAAACTTTTGGCTACCAGTTTCAGCGGAGACGCGGTCTATTCATATATTCGGAGCCACTTGTCTTCAAAACAGGAGATCAAAAAAAGTAGCAGCGCAGTTTAGTCTTTCGCAAATGGTTTGGTGACCATTTCTTTAGCTTAGGCACCCTGACAAGCCTGAGTCAACCAACTACTACAGAATAGTCAAAACATGGAAGCTGCCTTCTAGTCGGGCTGAAAAGAAATATATATTTTTTTTTTGGGGGAATTTTAGGGGCAGAGCCCTTATGATTGATAAAAAAGAAATTATAAGTGAGAAAATTATAAAAAGAAAAATCTAAAGTCAAGGATCTCAATAACAAAAAAGAATCATATGAACAAAAAAGAAAGGCCAACAAGGGCAAAAGGAACTACAAATGCAAAAATACTAAGAAGCAGTGAATGACTGAGGTTGCTCTTGTAAAATCACGGGCAAAGAGGAAAATGCACCAAAGAGTCTGAGCAAGAGTGAAGCCCCTGGTTGCCAGAGAGACCTTCCAAGAGGCAGTCGGAGGATCAATCATTAATTCATCATTGTCCTTCCAAAATTAAATTACTCAGGCAATAAGTCGCGAATGAAGACCACAAGGGATAGGAAAAAAGAAAAAAATATCCACCCATCAAGAGACCGAACTAAAGCAGTTGCAAAATAGTATGATGATCCTTTCAAGAAGAGGTCTTGCACAAAAAAGCTTTTTTAATTTTAGCAATCATTGTTGCTTGACAGTCAAAAGTTCCCCCAAATTTTTTGTAATTTCTAGCTCTTCAAATATGATAAATTACTGCACATGAAGCAAGCAGATAAAAGCTATTATGGATTCATGTTAATCCCTGATCAAGGTTGCTACCAAAAGCATGATGTATGTTAGGTCTCATTAGGAGATTACCCAGTCCAAGGGAGGAAGTGTTTAATGATGTTGAAAGTGAAGTGACATTCAAAGTAGAGGTGAGAAAGGGATTTGAGATCATTATGACAAAAACATCATAAAGTTGAAGTTTGAACCCCACGGATAGCTAAAACAACAATAGTTTTTAGGCTACTTTAAAAACCATCCAGACAAAAGCTGAAAAACAAAGGGCCGATCTTTTTGTGCCATACCATTTTATGCCATGAGACAACTTCTAAGGATGAGTAAAATTGCTCATGGAAGCTTTTAAAATTAGGATTATGAGATCCCAATAAGCAATGATTAACTAGTTGAGGGTCACCGGACATTGTATAGAGGCAAATCAGGACATGCAATATCATCAATTTGCTGTGTATAGGTGTTGTGTATCGGGTGACGTGGTACATCCTGATTCGCCTCCGCATGATTTGGTGACTGCACGTAATAATCTCTCTTGCTAATGTCATCTAATTTAAAATAGTGCTTCAAAAATAATTCGAACAATTGTAATGTAGTTAGGATGTCATTCATTTCTCACATTTTTTAAACAAAGTATTGCGAGCTATGATTATCGTATAGTTAGGTGGATGAATATTATTAAGATTTCATTTGAAACAATATTATTATTATTTTTAAATTAAATTATTAACAAAAATTTTTATTAAATTAAATTATTATATTAAAAAATATGTTAAAAAGTACTAAGAAAATCATCCCAAATAATGTCTATTGTTTACAAATAAATTTATTTGAACGGGCTTATAAGAAAATTGCTATTGAGAATTTTTTCTCAAGAAGCAAACTATAATATTTATAATAGCTTCACAAAAATTCTATTTTCGTTGTAATTATTGTACAATTAACTTTACAAATAATTGTAGCCGTTACAAACAAGCATGCACTAACCCTAATGGGGACCTTAAATATCATAGAGCTTTTTGGGTCCAAAACCCGTCTGAATATGAATCTCTACTACTTTGCTCAAAGTAATTAAGAAGCTGAAGTTGCTGCTCTCTACCCTCCTTCGCCTCTTCTTCCTCTGTTTTATGTGTATATTTAAAGTAATAAAAATTATATTTTGTTAACTAACTATCTTGTCCTGTCGCCGTGGCCGCCAACGCCGGCGCCGTCGTACCAGCAGATGCAGCTAAACCCGACGAGAACCTCCACAATCGCCATTTCCACTTTCTCTCGATCAGAGAACATGAAAGTCTGTAAAGCCAAAACCCGCGGCTTCGTATTCAATCTCTGCTTCTTGTCCATCGTCCTCTCCTCCCCCCATTTCTCCGTATCCCTTGCCACTGGACTCAGCCATCTCAGTATTCTCTCAACGGCCTCCCTCCACCCATCTGCAAGCTCGCCGTCAGCCAATCCTCTCTCTTTCCACTTCTCCCTCAGCCTCCTCCTCACCGTCTCCTTCAGCTTCGCCGGCAACATTCGATATATTTCATCCCTCACCGCCACTTCCTCCCCCTCCTCTGCTTCCTCTGCACCACTCCTAATCCTCATCAACCTCTCCGCTGACAAGATGATACTCGCGTACTGAATCGCCAACCCGGAGCCACCCACCGTTCTCTCTCCCGGCTGTAGAACCTTCTTGCAGTCCTCAGGAAGCTTGTACACTTCTTCCCTACTTCCCCTGCCTATGATGGGGCATGAGTTTCTGATTGCTACTTCCTTGGCGGCTGCCTTGGCCCGGTCTATCGGTCCGGAGGCGTAGTGCCTTCCAGCGAACCGCGGGTAAATTCGTAATTTAGGATTGAGCAAAGTGAAGCGCATTCGACCGCCAGAGATCAGTATTGGGGGCAGGCCCTCGACGAACGGGCTGAAGACGGCGCAGATGCGGGCGAAGATGGCGAGGACTGCTCCTGACATGAGCTCCACCACTTCGTCAAACGTCTTGCACCATAAAGACTGTTCCTTTAGCTTCGCCACTTTCTTCCCATGCAATTTAAGCTCCGCCACCGGCTTCTGCGGCAGCAGCCTCCCGAATTTCATCAAAGCCATGTCTTTTTCCCCTGCTTCTATCTCTTCCAAGAGCTTCACAACCACGGCGATGCATTTCTCCATTTTTTTGACTCGGCGTTCTACTCCTTTGACGGAGAGGGTTCGGATATTAGTTGTGGCGCGGCCGGCTTTGACGTCTGCGTAGGTGCGGGGGAACAAAAGGAGGGGTTCGGCGTTACAGCGGGTGGAGAAGCGGGAGACTGTGGCGGCGGAAGCATCCAGGTCAGAAAGGAATTCGGCGCAGGCGAGGCGGAAGAGGAAGTGCTGGTCGGTAGAGGTGAGGTAAGCCACTCCAGCGGAACGCATGGCGTCGGCACGGAGGCGGTGGAGTTCCGGTTCGGAGAGGGAGCGGTGGAGGGAGACGAGACGGGACATGGCGGCGGCGGCCTCGAAGGTGAGGATTCCGATGGGAGCGGAGAGGAGTTGGTAGTGCTCGTGATCGCAGAGCCACGAATTGGGATTCTTAGGGACGACCATTGTGTTTGGTGGTACATTGGAGGCGGGAGGTCGAGGAAAGAGGAAGTGTAAGTTTATATTTGACTCAGGTGGCGGGAGTTTCTGAGATGCTTCGGTCAGACGCGTTCAAGAGTTTACAAGGGGGACTTTTGGGAGAAAAAATTAAAGAAAAAAATTAAAATAATTTTATCAGAATAACCTCACAAAAAAATATTAGAAGGTATTTAATTCTTTTAATTTATTCTCGCCTTTATCCTATGTGAGACCAGTTATATTAATTATTTTTCTCCATTTTATCTAGTTAATAGTCAAATTCTTATTTAAATTTAATTAAAAAAATTCATTTTTAATATTTTCTGATCAAATTTTTTTAAGTCTATTTCTACCTATTTTAACATAAGTTATATCTAATACAAAAAGGTCATTTTTTGATAGTAATTCAATAAATAAATAATTTATATTATACTCGCTCTTTTTAACTATAATCACGCAAGAATTTACAAATAAGTTTCACAAAAGGATGTTATATATATATATATATATATATATATATATATATAGTTGAAACCCACACAGGAGTCTACGCGTTGATATAAATTAAAATTACAAGTCCTTAAAGAGATTTTCAGCCCTCTAATGCTCGACGAGCTACAATCAATCAAAAAGAAAAAACCTAAGGGCCGAAATTTTCTATCTACGCAAAATACAAAATAACCTAGGAACATACTATGGAAGCATGAAAAATGTGCCAAAAAATAAGAAAGATCAACAAGATAATCAGTCAGCTCCATCTTTCTAGCAAAAAACTTCCTCAAGGTGGAAGCAACCTGCAAAAGAAATAACGAAAAGAACAACAAAGCAAAAACACCAGTAATACCGACAAAAAACAAAAACAGCCTCAGAAGATCCATTTCCAGAACTTGGAATTCGATCATCCCTAGCAACTCCAGCAGCTCCGCCTCAACAGACCAAAAGATCATTAGCCTATAGAAGAAACATTCCCAGAACTTGGAAAGCGAGCAATCACAGCACCTCTAGCATTCCGCCATAATAGAACAAATAACATCCAGCACCCACAGAAAACAAACCCAATTCCAGTTAAAAACCACAGAAACCATCAGATACATTAAACAGATTGAAACTAATAAACTCATGAAGCAAAAGGGCTCATCACATAGATCGAATATAAGGTAAACCCAACTTGTCCAATCTCACTAAGCCACGTAGCTGTTGAGGAATATTGATGCTAGAAAATTCTTCCACCTCATTGAGAAGGCTACCCTTCTTGGCTAAAAAATCCGCACATGCGTTGCCTTCACGGAAAATATGAACTAAAGTAAAGTTTAAACCAACCAGCAAGCTTTTAATCTTTCTCATAATATAAAAGAAATCCGGGTAACACATAATATTATTTTTAAGCAGCTGGATAAAACTTAAAGCATCCACCTCAATAACAACATTAGTGATACCGATATCGATTCTAACGCAAACTTCCAGACCTTAGGCTAAGCCTCTCATTTCAGCATAAATAACTTTGCAATCGTTTAAAGGAGAGGCATAAGCAATTATAACATCACCTTTGAAGTTCCGAATTATATCTCCCATCCCAGCAATATTGGAACCCACCGAACCATCAGAGTTCAACTTGACAAAAGGATAAACAGGTTTCACCCATCTAACCACTTTATCCATTGCTCTAAAAGCAGCAGACTTCAAGGGAATACCGAAAAACAGAGCTAAAGAATTACAGTTTTTGAAGTTCTTACCAGATATCATATTGGCGGTGTACAACTGAAGAACTTTGTGTTTAATATTCTCAATAATCCTCAGGGCTTCCATATGAATACCCTCATGTTTAGCTTCGTTTCTAGCTTTCCACAAATACCAAATAATTAGAATAGAAAGCAAATTGTAAATATGGCCTTTGTTATTAGTCACCCACGACTCAAGCATTTTTAAAATACCCTCTTGCATAATGTTACTGTCTTTATGAGCCAAACAGAAGAAATGATGCCATACTTTCTTAGCAATCAAACCATTGGCAAAAACATGATCCAGTGTTGGATTGGAAGCAACGATGACGACATGAGGGAGCTCGAGATCCATTCTGATGTTGGATTGGAAGTAATGAAGACGACAACGACAGGAGCCTGCCTGCATGAAGCCTTTGTGCCTTACGACTCAACTGCTCAAGAGTTCGATCAGTTGGCCTTACCGACTCACCCTGCCTGCAGCCTCATGGTCCCAGTTCGCCCTCACTGATGTTGTCGTTGTACTTGCCCATTCTTGAATCAAAATGAGTCTACGGGTCAAGTCAGGTCAACCCAGTAACTCGCGCAGGTTGTGCCCGACTTGAATTACCTAACTCGTTTACAAAAATGGGTCAAGTTCGTGTTGGGTCAACTTATTTTAGGTCAGTTCTGGGTTGAACCTGAACCCAGCCCATGACCCAATTTTGATAGCCCTAGTATTATCTAATATTTTTGTTATATTTATAGATAGCACATCAACAAGATGGAAAGAATAAAGAAAACTCCATGTGAACTCCTTGTCTCTGCATCTTGGTTAAGGCTTCGCCCTAACTGTCTTTCTCCACCACTAGAGCTTGTTCTTAGGGAAGAAAAGTCGCTACAGCTCCTCATTTCCGACGATATGCTCCCTAGCCGCCCGGTTCCCTCGCGGGGCCTTGCATTGTCTCTCAGGGAAGTGTCTTTCTTTTTTTCTTCATGTTTCTTCTTTTTCTGTGGATGACCTATCTTTTTGCTTGATTTTCTTCCTCAGAAGGTGTTGGATGGCAGTTAATCAGGCTCATTTGTGGGATTTTTATTTCCTGTCCGGTAAAAATATTTCGAGGTCATTTCTTGATGATTTGACTGGTGCCACTCCGGTGGCCTTCACGCCTCTTAAAGCTTCATCCTTTAATGGTATATTGTCATCGTGAATTTCTGAGGAGGAAATTGTGGCTCTCGTTACACCTTTTGAATTTTCTTTGGTTAAAAATTTTCCAAACAATCGCCCATCTTTGGAATCAATAAAGAAGTTTTAGTTAATCTTAAGCTTGATGGTGAATGCTCTGTGACTCTTTTGGATATAAGAATGTGCTGATTAAATTTGAGAATGGTTTGGATTATCGTAGGGTTTTTATGCATGATGCTTATTTTGTCAATAATTATTTTAAGAAACTGGTTAAGTGGTCTCCTTACTTGGATTTATCAGTTGAATCTCCTATTATCACTATTTGGGTCTCCTTCCCAAATTTGCGGCCTCACTTTTTTTTTCTACTCTTATTCATCATGGATTTGGCTATTTATTCGGTCGGCCTATACACATTGACAATGTAGCCTTTATTGGTTCACGCTCTTCGATTGCTCGAGTTTTAATTCAATTGGATATAACAAAACTTTACCTCGATGTTGTTTGGATAGGTTCATAAAATTGTTATTATGCACAATTTGTTGTGATAAAAAATCTGCCTTCCTTTTGTGATTATTGTAAAACCTTGGGTTATGCTAACAAGGAACGTGGTTCTACTCCTGTTAATATTGTTAGTTCTGATGGGATTGTGAATGCTATTTTGTTATCTGTGATTAATGTTGCTACCTTTAATTTGACTCTTGTATCTTCAATTAATGCATTGGTGGCCAATGGGTGTAATTGCATTAAAGCTTCTTATGATTTGGTGAAGATTTCTGGTGATCTTCACATTAAGGATAAGGTTGGTAATGTTGAGGAGGAAATGGTTCCGTCGAATTCTACTTTGCATTTTTCTATTGCCTGTGTTGATAGTGGTGATGTTAATGATAGGTTGGTGCTAATATTTATGGGGTTAACCTTGCTTCTACTCCTTTCGCCTCCCCTTGTATTATAATTGGTGATGGTGTTGATGGAGATTCTACTTTTGATCATTCTGGTGTTAACTCTTCTCCGTGTAGTATGGAATCTAGGAAGGATGATGGTTTTCCCGTGCTTGTTTTGAATGTGGAATCGCTTCCTATTAATGGGAATCAATTTATTGATGTTCTGATTTTTATTATTTCAAATGATGCTTTGAAAGCTCAATTGTCATTGAATTTGAATGATACTTGTTTGGATGAAAAACATTGGTTGGTTGGGTCTGATTCAGCGCCCTGTCGGGGTGTTGGGGATGACTTGGGTGAATATGTTGATGAGTTTCTTGCGATGTATAGTTTGAATGTGGATTGTATTGTTAAAAAAGTATTTTCTCACAGAGGTGGGAAAAGTGGTAGGAGGAAGTTTAAAAGGAAGTAATTGATTTTGTTTGTTGGTTTTCTTTGGTGTTGTGGATCTCCTCGGTTGATTTTGCCTTTCGGTTTGGTGTTGCTTTGGTTGGTGGCTGGCCCTTGTGTCTGGGTTGTTACGTTTCATCTAGGTGTTATGGTTTGGGTTTACGTATGTAGTTGGGGGTTCTTTGTTTGCTCTGTGGTTGTTGGTGTGTTGTAGTTGGGTTGTAGTTGTTGGTTGTTGGTGTGTGTGTGGAAGTGGTTTTGTGGTTGTTGGTTGCTCGTGCTGTTTCTCTGGTTGGCTTTAGGTGTTCATTTGTTGGCTTTGGATTATTTCTTTCTTATCTTTTGCAGGTTTCTTTGGGATTTCATCTTGCATGTTTCTTTGGGTGGCTCCCTGTTTGGGATTGGGGATCTTCATGTTGCTCTGTTGTGCTATTTTTTTTTTTTATCTTTGTTTGCTTTGTTTTGTTGCTTTAATTCTTTTGCTTATCATTGTATTAGGTAGAACACTTGGCTTGTAGGTTTTACTTCAAATGTTGTGCTTTTAGAGAGCTGATTGTTCTTTAAGAACTTGTAATTTTCTTTTGATTAACGCGTAGGTCACTATGCGGATTTTATAGATAACACATTGTGATACAAAACTTATGTATATTTTTAATGACAAAAAATATTTCATTATATATTTATTAGATTAATTTTTATATGAGCATAATATAAAAAGTAATTGATAGTCATATATGATATTCATAAAAATATCAGATCTAATAAATAGTAAATTTATGCTGATATAA